AGAATTTTCATTAAGACCCTAAAGCATCATATCAACTTGTGGAAAATGGGCATCCGATGACCCCTTTAAATAAATAAAAAATAAATAAATAAAATAATGAAATGAAATATATATTTAAAATAAATAAATATATATAAATATGTGATTGTTTGAAATTATTTTACCATAGTGTCTTGTTTGACGAGTTACCCAACTGTCTCTTTAGTATGCAGAAAGAGCAGCATCTGGAAACTTGAAAGCACTTGGTGCATCTTATCAAAATCTACCTAAAATAATGATTTTAAATACAATCTATATTTTTCATAAATGTTACCAATTTATTTTTCCATATGCTGAAATGGTTACAAGGTTTATTTGAGGTCTTTATGGTATGCTGATGTCTTAGGTATTATGATCTGTCACAGTAATACCACAGAACCTGTGGGGTAATGATTTGAAAATATAATTACGCTCTGAAAAATGATTGAAGAATATTGGTAAAATTCAGGCAAATGAAGTACTACTGTTAAATTCTTTAATCCACAAATCAGAGGATTTTAGACATTTTCTTAGCTGGTTTGTATCATTTAGTAAAATCACACAATCATGAGATTAAATGAAAAGGTTGATGTTAGCATAAATGATTATACTACTGTGGAGGTTAGTAGTGAAAAAAAACAAAACATAAAAAAAAAAACTTTTTTTTTTTTCTTTTTTCAACTCTTAATTTGGCTGATTGTTTTCCAGATTAGCCTCTCCAAATGAGTTTGTATGAGATATTTTTTATGGATCTGAAGCCTATAGAACCTGCTTGCTATTATTTGTTTATTTGTTTGTGGAAAATCTGTTGAATGCTGTAGAATGAATTGGTAATTTCAATTATTTTTGATAGCTGAAAATATAATCAAATTAGCTAAAATACTTAATAAATAAACATGCCAGGGGCAAAGCATATGTAATACTCTGTGAATTTAAATTTTAGGATTTTGAAAAATGCAAAACCATGTAATGTAGGTATAAACAGAGAGCGAGTAAAAACAAATGCAGCTTTAAAAAAAAAGCAGTCTGACAGCATATTAAATATGTTATTAATATGTAAATGTTGAACACTCATTCTTGGCTAACATGAAAGCTGATAAGCATGAAACCTGTGGGCCACACACATATGTCCATGTTTCAAAGCGATAGTTCACCCAAAAATGAAAATTCTGTCATTAATTACTCACTCACTTAATTACTCCAAATCCGTAAGACCTTTGTTCATCTTCGAAACACAAATTAAGATATTTTTGATGAAATCTGAGAGCTTTCTGACCCTGCATAGATGGAAACGGAACTACCACGTTCAAATCCCAGAAACGTAGTAAGGATTTGGAATGACATGAGGGTGAGTAATTAATGAGAGAATTTTCATTTTTGGGTGAACTATCCCTTTGAAACATGGACATATACGTGCGGCCCACTGGTTTCATGCTTATCAGCTTTCAGGTTAGCCAGGAATGAGTGTTAGTGCTGTGGGCCGTACGCTGAGGATCATATCCTTATCCAGGATTCAGTGGCACTGAGCTCATCTTACACACAGGGATGCTCTCTCTCTCTTTCTCTCTCTATTTCTTACAAATGTATACACTTATACACACGGACGAGGTGTCATTTGAAATGCCATTTGGAGAGCAAATGGGATTCCAACTCCAACCAAACCAAACAAAATGAGGAACAGGTGACAGCGGTCAAAGGTCAGACAGAAGTAAAGGTTTAGGGGTGAAGAAGAGGTACAGCATTATTTCATCCACACCGGACACTGAGTAGGAGACTTAGGTACAGAGGAGAGGAAGGGTGCTGAGGTTACGATGAGACATGAGACATACCCATTTATCCAAATCAACTGCCTAAAGTTGGCAGGAAAGGGAGACGAAGGGTCAGGCGAGAGACAAAAAGTACAGGAAATTAAGTTACACTAACAAATCTACCTTCCAACACCAGAATATACCTCTAATAAACTGGCTTTTAGATGACCCCATGCACCCAAATATAACATAACAGAGAAGGATTCAAATTAAGAGCAGCAAAAAAATACAGTTGGAACAAATATGTGACCCTGGACTACAAAACCAGTCTTAAGTAGCAAATAGCCAACAATACATTGTATGGGTCAAAATTATAGATTTTTCTTTTATGCCAAAAATCATTAGGATATTAAGTAAAGATCATGTTCCATTAAGATATTTTGTACATTTTTTTCCATAAATATATCAAAACTTAATTTTTGATTAGTAATATGCATTGCTAAGAACTTCATTTGGACAACTTTAAAGGCGATTTTCTCAATATTTAAATTTTTTGTACCCTCAGATTGCAGATTTTCAAATAGTTGTATCCCAGCCAAATATGGTCATATCATAACATCTATACATCAATGGAAATCTTATTTATTCAGCTTTAAGGTGATGTATAAATCTCATTTAAAAGAATTGACCCTTATGACTGGTTGTGTGGTTCAGGGTCACATATTAAATAGAAAATGGATATAAAATGGGGCCCAAAAAGTCTGACAATACCATAAAAAAATCTATCAATCAGTGGTGTGCGGTAATGTTCTGAAATTAGGAGTCAAAGTCCTTCAAGTTTTTTTTTTTTTAATCAAATGAACTTGTAACTATTTTTGAATTTTTCGGATCATCAGTCATCAAAGCAGTCACCAATGAAATTGGTCACAGACACAGAGATTTACTTTAATTTCACCAAGCTGATTACTCACTAAAAACTCCCCCAGATCATGTTTTCATGCCATTGTAAGTCTTATTTTGACGTAACAAGGTTATGTCTAAGTGTGTGAGTTGTTTGCTTACTTTTTTAAATTAGTCTTCGCATTAACGCCATTATATTGTTCGTTCAGACTGATTCACGAACATGGAACGCGCACAAACACAAGAGGCAGGATTTAACGCATGAACCAATCACAGCCGATAATAACCAGTCATATCCAATCATATTGCGATGGAAGCATTGCCTCCTCTCGTGTGACTTTCCGCCATTCATTCTCAATTACCCCCCACCAAACTCACTGAACGCTTTTGGGCGTCTGTTAAAACTCAATGGGCTCAGGGGAGGTGAGTGAGACGTGAATCTGCTAGTGTCGCTGATGGACAATGTTTCTTTAGAAAAATGAGCGATTTATACAATTTGAATGTTATATCACTACTTTCTCACGTTTTCTTTTTAAAACCACATTTTTACTGTAAGTTTTCTTTATTAGCTATACAGGCTACATCTTATTGTATGTATTTGTAAATTGTAAAAGGATGTAATATTCTTTGTTCATCATTCCTTTTCTTTTTGACCCTCTGCTTTTCGAATTGCTCCCTGCTCTCCACCTCTCCATCCTTCTCTCTCTCTCTCTCTCTCTCTCTCTCTCCTTCATGGAGACTCTCACCTCGTTCATCTCCACAGTGTTGGCCAGCATCTCCTGCAGGGCTCGTACTGACAGCGACTGCTCCAGTACAAAGGCACAGATTGCCAGATCAGGCGGCACATTCTGCAGACCAAGACGAAGAAACACACCAATGTTTGGACTCGTGCATAATTAATGGATTAAAAAAAATAATAATAATAATTTTTGTGTGTGTTTTCACCGGTGTGTGTAAATATAAGCAGCACAGCACATTTTCTTTGTCTACAAGCATGTACAATTTATTTCTGTACAAAGTAACAAAACAATACAAAACAGTACAATAATAATTTAATACATTTAATACTTTTATTATATAGAAGTTTATCTATCTATCTATCTATCTATCTATCTATATACAAAAGTAAATAAAAATATATACAAAAGTTAGCATTATTCTACTTTTTTAGCATTGAGTATTATTTGCCTGACAAAAATAACTGTTGTGATATAGTAAAATAATCTGGTTTACTGGATATTGTAAAGAGGAATATTGAAATATTAATAAAATAACATACTCTATATAAAATGCCATATTTAAGTAAAAATACTTTTAGATAATTTAAAATATACAATAAAAATGTAATCATTTTAGTAAAAATATATACAAATGTAAATATATATGCAAAAGATACCATTATTTAAAAATTTTAGTAGAGTATTATTTGTCTGACAGCTGGTGTGATACAGCCAAAACATATGTTTGGTAAAATGAATAACTGTAATATAAAAATACTAATAAACTATCCTGCATACAAAATTTAATATTTAAGTATTATTTGCCTTACAAAAATAACTGTTATATAGCTATTTTATATATTAATATATAGCTAATTATTATTAATAAAATAAATGTGATCTACCTAAAAAAAACATACACTGAAATAGGTTTTACTCCAGATATTTGTAATGAGGAGTGGCTTTCCTGCCCAGAATATCAACACCCTGACACTTTTTTGATGACTATACCTGGGCATTTGACGTTGTCTCTAGAAAGCACAGACGGTTCCCAAAGCCTTCACAGGAAAGGCATAGTTTGATCTGCTCCTTCAGAACAGTCGCGGTGCACTGGAGCACAACTTGGTCTTCCTGTGAGCCAGAGCAGGTTGTGAAAAAGGAAGAAAAAAACAGAAGGAATACAAAGTGAGAGTATGAACAGAGCCAGATGGTGACAATGTGGTGACAATGGGGTCTAATAAATACCTATTTATAGTGAGACGTGCAAACATGTTGAATGATAACGCACTGATTAGTGAGACACAAACACACACAAGGGCTGGTACGTTCATAGCACAGCGTGTAAATACAGTAATAAACACACCCGCTTCCAAACACTCTCCACCTGTCATGTATAACAGCTGTTCCCTCCACTGACTGACATGATGTAGCCATATCCTGCACTCCCTTCTCTCCAGCTTCATTTTCTCCATAATTTGTTCTCCATCTCTCTCTCTCTCTCTCCTTCATATTTCACTGTGTCCTAGTGTTTTTCCCTTCTTCTGTAACAGCACTTTTGTCCAAACTCAAACCTCACGATTTATCTTCTACCCTCCTAAACAGTGGGTTTCTGAGAATTTGTGTTTTTTTGCTGGAACATTCTGTCCTACAATCCCCTGCACAGAGGAAATGGGGCCAGTCTATCCTTTGTAAGGGCACAGAGGCCTTTAAAACTCCAGGTGTTTATAGTCTCTAAAACACATCTAGGAAGAAAGAAGATGGCTGTATGTGGCTAGTATTAAAGCCTTTGTGACTTTGTGGCTATATGGTCAATAAAACAGTACTTACTACTTATGGCCCATATGATGTTTCATATCCAGAGATTAAGTTATTTAATTTACAGAGATCACATTGACAATGATTTTAATAGTTGGTCACATTTTGGTGTTTCAAAGTAGACCGAATCGGACCATAAAGTAATAATGGGGCAGGATAAGCAGATATAGCCAGATATAATCAAGTTATACTTTTAAGTATAATCTCAAGTTTGTTGCTGGAAGAGTATGTGTGTGTGTGTGTGAGAGAGAGAGAGAGAGAGAGAGAGAGAGAGAGAGAGAGAGAGAGAGAG